AGTCTGATGCGTGAAATAACGGTGCTGAGCGGTTCATTTCCTTTTCCTGTGCCGTAAACGAGGCGTCGAACACGCTTGTTGCTCACGCGGTGTTCCCACCGGATGTGAGCTAAATTACGAAGGCACCGGTGGTCGAACGTAACTAGCCTCTTCAGGTCCGCTGCTTTAAGCGGCCAGGTTTCACAACCGCACAGTAGGGTTGAACGTACTGCTGCATTGTGCACTCTACCCTTCAGAGCAAGAGTGATGTCGCGCCGGCGCCATAAGTTGCAAAGGTTAGCAAAAGCGCCCTGAGCTTTTGCAATACGGTTCGTGATCTCATCTTCAATCCCACGGGCGCTGATACAACTTCGCAGGTAGTTGAATTTTTGAACGACTTCTAGCTGATCCCCACCAAAGCTCAGCGTAGGAAGCGGTCCAGACCAATCTTGGAGGAACACTTTGCACTTCCAGGGTGCGAAGCAAAGCCCGAATTGACGGACAGCTAGTGCTAATCTGTCCAGTGTCGCTCGGCACGTTTGTGAGCTGTCACAGATCAGGGCAATATCATCAGCATACTCTAGAGCGTGTTCGATTCAATCGATCGATCGATTCTGTTCGAAATACTTGCGCAGAAAGGTGTTCCCACGAAATATGAGAACATCCTACGTGCTCTATACCCGAACACTACAGGCCGCGTCAGCGTCAACGGTGTCCTGTCGGATAGCTTTCCGACCACAAGTGGCCTTCGTCTGGGTTGTGCCTATGTCCCCGTTTTGGTTCAATTTCGTCGTGGATTCTGGCATGGAGTGTTCCCTTTGCGGAATCTCACGATGTAGGCGTTGAAGTGCTGCCTGGTGAAAGGTTAGTTGATCTTGGTTATGCGGACGATATCGTCTTGCTTTTCGACAATGTAGGGGCGACACAATCAACCCTGAATAGCCTGTCTAGAGTGTCCCATTATTTGGTATGCACTTTGCACCTCCAAAGTGCAAAGTGTTGTTTCAGAACCACGAGCCACTTTATAACCCTTTGACCCCTTGCTAACGAGCAACTCGAGGTGATTGATCAATTCATTTATCTTAGCAGCTCTATCAGCAACGATGAGTGCATAGAAACTGACGTCAGCTCACCCATTGCAAAGGCCAGAGCTATTTACTTGAACCTGCGTCATCTTTGGCGACAGAAGGGAGTTTGCCTCCGTCTGAAAGGCCGTGTATACAAGGCCACAGTGAGGGCCGTTCTGCTGAATGGGAGTGAGACTTGGCCCCTTCGGTCTGAAGATCTGAGGCGCCTTCAAGTCTTTGATCATCGTTGTCTGCGAAGCATTGCTGGAGTCGGATGGCACCAGCGTGTCCGCAACGATGATGTGCGTAGGCGAGTACTAGGTGGTGAGAATCATGCTAGCTCCCTAGAACAACAGATAGGCCTGAATAAGTTACGTTGGCTCGGGCACGTGCTACGTATGCCTGGTCATCGCTTACCTAGGAGGGCGTTGTTTAGTCTACCAGGGGTGGGGTGGCGCAAGGCTCGAGGTGGACAGAAGTTGACTTGGCAGTGCGAATTGAAGTCACTGACGACCAAACTGGTTGCCATTGGTCCGTCTCGCCTTCCGGGCTGGAGTCCACGTGACTCGCCTTGTGCTTGGCTCGAGACTGTATCGGACATGACTCACAACCGGCATCAGTGGCACGTCTGTTGCCGTCTCCTAATCGGAGTGCCTGTTTAAAGTGTGCTTGGTGCTGAGTTATCTGCGGTGTAATGGCTGATTATGACGCGTGGCAGTGAAAGCCGCAAGGAGGCTGTCTCGCCGATGCCGCCTTATGTTTGCACGATAGCCAGCTGTTTGTGACGGTATGTTGTCTACACAAGGTGTAGGCGCCTTGACCCTGAATGTTTGCCTAGGACATTAAGGTTTTCAGGTAAGTCCCCCTTCTCTCCCTCTTCTTATTCTTTATTTCAAAGGTCCTCGTGGTTGTATGGCAGAGAGGCATCAGTTCAAATGGCTGATGTACTGCTGTTGTTGTTGTTGTTGTTGATGATGATGATGATGCAACGTGGCCCAGCCATCACAGCCTCGTGGTCTTAGCTACTACGCTCAATCCATGTAACTCGTCCCTCCTCTTCCTCTCTGAGAAACGCACCTTAACTTAAATGCCGCAACACAAAGTCTAATATGTAAAGCATGGCGGACTAAAACAGTAATATAATAAATATCCTATTATGCATTTGGTATGAGATTGTTGTTCGACGGGGAAGCCAAACTGGATGGTAAGGACAAAATAACTCACAACCACGTCCCCCAAACCAAGGACTCATTTCACGTTGGTTCGTTCAACATTTGCACTCTTGAGTCTTATTTGCTAACAGATAGCACCAAGTTTCACTCCCTTGATATTGATGTGTTTAGTCTCCGAAGCACATCTTAACAAATTTTCGATTCCCCGGTTCCGTACCTGCCGACAGCGACTACATACTTAATGTCTCTCACGATACTGAGTCACCCGTTTAACACATTTGTTAAAGGCAGTCTACTCGAGTAAATGCCGGTGAAGAAACACATGTACGCCATTTGACCTCGAACTTTTATTTGGGTTACTAAGCACCACCTGAAGACGAAGTACCTTTTCATTGCTTTGATTTATGACCCTACGGATTACACTTCGAGGAGTATGAATGGCGATTTCTTTCGCGAGATTTCATCTCTTCCCCGCGGGGCGGAAAATACCGACGTTTTCATTGTTACTGGTGACGTTAGTGCCCAAGTTGATTGCCTTGCCGTCTCTTTCTAGCACCTGGGAGGCCGCCTTGGGGTCGATGCACATCGAACATATAATGGCGACTGATTCTCGCAACTATTTGTCTACCACGATTTTTGTGTTTGCAGCACTACTTTCCAGCACAATCGTCCACATCGTGTCATGCGCGCCCGTCGAATTCGCCTATGATGTGGACTCAAATTGACCACGTTGCCATCAGTCATAGATTACGCGCATCAATCCAAGACTATCAGTCAATTTGTAGCAGGTACCTGAATTTCGACGATGCTGTAGTGCGCTCATGCCAGTCGCACACACACTTCGTTTGAAAGAAGCACTTTTACTTCCAAGCTCCTCACTTGTAACTTGTGCTCGCAATCCACAGTTGAACAATATCATGAGGAACTGGCCCACCAATTGTGAGTGATACATGAGGTTGGTGAGTCGATTGCTGACTGGAATTGTCTCAAGTGTGCCATGAAAAATTCCTTCGACGCCTGTTCTTCGTCCAATTTGAAACGTCTGAATTGTGTATATATCTCCGATGCATCGATCAATTTGGTCGAAACACGAAAACAAGTTTCAATGAGTACTGAGTTTCAGCTTATCCATGAAACGAACTCTGACAAGGAATCTTGGAATCGATCGGGCACGTTGATCTGTAAGAGCCAAAAGATGCAGAAAGCCCGTGCTATTGAGAATAACTGAGTGCTGTCTTAGCGTTCGGTTCTGTCATCGTTGACCGAAAGTATCAAGTTCACCTGATTATATTTACCGGACTACAGCAACGCATTCGGCTGCGTAAATCGTGATTTGCTGTTGAGAGATCTACTCGGTGCTAGAATACATCCTTCCATCGTACTTTTGTTTATGGATTATTTTGCCGATCCTACTTAGGTTACCCGACTTGGAGGCGAAAACTCCTTCGGCCTTCTTCAGGGAGCTATTTTGCCATCATTGTTATTTTCTATTTGTCAGCTCAATACCAGTCCCTGAGGTGGCGCCCTCCCTGAGGTACGCGGATGACATTGTCCTAGACGTCAATCGATCACCACTGCCTTTTCAGCCAGATTAAAAGATATTCTTAACGGCCTCACGTTTTCTTCGAAAACACGCGAGCTGTCACTCAACGTCGTTTTTTCATTGTACACAGGAGATCAGTAACAACAGAGTCTCAAGCATTATCCGAAACTCCGGATTCATGGCGAGGAGTTGCACTCCTTCACCTCCTTTCAAGTACCTAGGTGTGACGTATAACTGCGGCTTATCTTGCTCACACCAAATGAAAGGAACGTTTGCAAAAGTCAGGAGATGCTCGTTCTACGCCTCACATCTACAAGCTTCCTTTATCCCCATGATTTGACACCTCGTTTCATTAGTACCTGTGTTCTTCCGCGCTTTACGTACTACTCTCGAATGGTTTTTCTTGATCTACTGGATAAGCGCTTCAGATTAATCTCCAGGTGATTAAAACACTAACCCTGTTGTAGCGTTGTGATAAAGCTGATGTGTTTTGATGTATTTGTTTCCGCTCATGTTAGTCCTTGCAACGTCAACAATCCTCACTGACACAAATCACCTCCTTCATTCTGTGTTCTCAGATATGTATCTACCTTGTCTACCAGACGGAAGTACATGCTGCTATCCGTCACTTTATCCTTATTTAGCACGATTTTTATTGGATTCTAACAAAGTCGTCTCAGAACTAACTTGCCAATTTGCTCCATGAGGGTATTATGTTCTCCACTTATTATTTCATTTTCTTTTACTTGTATTTATATCATGCTACTGTTAAACTCTACGCGATGGGAACTAACGCAAAGCTTTCGAATGGAGAAATGGCACAAAGCCCAAATGACACCTAGGTAACAGAATACACAGTACCGATGGCATGCACCGAGTATTGCGACAAGTAACATGTGCGCGCATCGATTATATGGTTGCGAACAGCTCACCAATAAGTGAGAGAGCGATAGGCTGGTCTTCACGCGCACACGTATGGACAGTCAATGTCGGGCGTGTGATCATGTCACTGGCGATGACAGTTAGAACGTCAAAGCTGTGTTGTTGAATGCCTGTGTGTTACAGCTGAATATTCACTCAGCATGAAGCATCTCTTGATTTAAATTGACTACCTCAAGATGACACAGCAGCGTAACTCACTAATTCCCGAATGAATTCGAACGCGATGACATGTAAATGTCCAATCTCGTTGTCATTAACTCAGGATCTCCGAATCTTCTTGTGCTTTTTTCCTTGTAGAATGTCTTTTCGGGGCTCCTCCTTATGCGTCGTCTAATTTGGAGACGCTGAAAATGAGGCTACTTAATCGTGAAGCTGTTCAGGTAAGTCTCGTTTTTTCTTTCTTTTGAAGTCCAAACTTGCGGTAAAATTCTATTTATTTGGGCCTCCTACCTTATTGTGATCCGCACTCCTATGGTTGAAGATGCTCCGTGGAGCTCAATGCAAAAGTCACTTGCTGGTCGATCATAAATCGACGACTAAATCAGCGGACGACATCGACCCAATAGCTGCACTGAGCAAGTCACGTCGTTTGGTGATACAAACCATTTACGAAGCTTGGCGAACAGGCGGCGAAACCCGGAGTGATCAACCCGAACCATTCGTGTATGCGAACGTCCGCATGTGCTTCAACCACTGAGGAAAGGCCATTAAATGTTGCTTTGGAATTCAGCAACACTGGTTGTGTCTTCACCTTGGGTGCGATCCCAGTAATTTGTATGATTGAGATTTAGCGTAAAAGGAACCGTGGTCCAAGTTGAGATTGCGTGCCGCAGTCTTGGCGTACACCTGATGCTCCAAAGCTAAACAATAAGGACCCTAACCTCGGTATTGCTCCTCCCAACCCTGACATCCCATGATCAGTTTCGTCTTCGTTTGGACTCATCAGATGAAGATAGCCTAAGTTGGGATGGAACTCAGGGCCTGGTGGTTAAAGGATAACCTCTTGATCACTATGGCTCTAAGATCCGTGAGCAACGCTACTTCAGAGTGAACCGAGATCTGATTAAAGATTACGTGTCGCAATCCCACCTTTACAGCGCGTACTCTAAATCCAGCTTTACCTGTTAGCCAGGCGCTCTCCACAAAGCCCATTGTGGCCTAATGATCAAATCGTTTGCAGTGAACCATTGCCCTACGTGTTCCACTCCACCGGCTATTTCTACCCGGAAGGTCTAAGTCGGTGTTGGAGTACAACATTTCGAGCTAGTAACACCGGAACCTTTCCACTTCGGATGGCTGGAATGGCCGAGATTTACTTCATCGAAAACCGTACTTTCAATTGGTGTTGTGCGTCGCAATCCAAAACTATGGGAACTTCAAAACCCAACAATGATAGCTTAGGGACATTCAGCGTTTGTCACATTCTCTGGATATGCCCCATGCATTCAACCGTTTGATCCACTGTGGTTCGCACTGGCTTGAAATCCCATTTTCTTGATGAGGTGCGAGTCCAGTAACCTATTCATTGTATTGCTTTTGAAATACATAAATAAATCTTTTATTTATCGACGATGCGAGAGACTATTCCCACATGGGGAAGGGTCAAAATATTTACGATTTTTTCATTTAGTCCCGTCTACATATTATTTGAGAATATGCATTATGTTATATCTATGTCAGTTTCACACATGCACCTTGTTCAGGGTGAAATGCGGAAGAATGTGCTGGAGTTATATCCGCCGTTAACGGATGTCCCGTCGATCTGGACCAGCGCAGTCTGACCAGAAGGCGGAAATGGGACTGTCTTGGATGAGTCATTCTTTCAAACTCCCGCTGACGTGCAATCCAACTTCATCGATCGATTAAAACACGTGCAGAAGTCCCACTTTGCAGTGGACTCAGGGAAAAAATAAAATAAGCCATTGTATCAAGGTATGTAAGGAACGGCTATAAAATGGTTACCCGTAAAAATAACTAAAGCTTCAATATCTGGCAGGGAATCATCCAAACATATAGACATCCGTTTGCACAGAATATATTAAATTTAGCAAGCGTTCTTGTAATTTCCCCAGTAGTTGTTTTGGGACATCTAAAAATGTGGACTCATGCCAAAAGCCTTACGCTGTGAGAAAAGTACTTCAGAATGAAACGAAGATTCTAATAGCAACAGACTGCGGCGCTAAGTACAATGAGAGCGAAAAGTGCCTTGTTTGGTACATGACAACATTTCAGTGCGACGCAGCTACAATAGGAAAGCGACCTAGATGATGACAACATAATTTCTAAATTCTTAATCGAAGTCCTAAAGTGTGCTATAGCACAATACTATTTGTGTTCATGAGTTGTAGTGGAAAGCTTTATGGCCGCTATACTCCGGATTATTACGGCATACAGTAAGGCTTGTGTACATCACCAGCCATAACCTTTGTCGTTATTCTGAACGATGTTAACTTTTATTACGCTAAGGTAAAGTACGAATAGTCGTATAAGCTTGGAAGATTAGATCTGTGAAAAAAATAGGAACTGGGTGTCCACCCATCACTGAGCCCGAGATTTAACAGGCGCATGTTGAAAAATGGAGCCAGGCAAAAGAGCATTTCTTGGAGATGGTCAACGTAGCGTGTAGAGGCGCTCGAAAATCCTGAAAGTCCGGATATCTGAGATGACAGGGGCCACTCTGAGACACGGTTAACTTTCCGGCTAGGTTAAATGAATATGAAATATTGAAGAGCAAGATGATAATAATGTACGGAACAGGATCTGGTTTCTCATTCTATCAATCTGCCAGTGTTGACATTATCAGATGACAAGCGTTCAATTCCAATAAAAGTTAAGAGATGGTGAGAGCCAAGATGAGATGAAGTGGAGGGACAAAAACCTGGGTCGCATTTGTTGTTCCATCAGAGGAATAGTTGACCAACTATCTGGAATATTATGATATTGAGTACAGCAATGAACTTTTTTCAAACCAATACAAGGCACAAAAGAAAATCAGATGCTCATTAACCAGTGCAGGGCGATTAGAAGAGCCAGTGAAACGAAGTGAACCCAAACCTTCTCATGCTAGGCAACCTGGTAACCTTTACGTTTCACTGCCGTATAGAAGAACGGACAGCACCATGGATTTGTACACCATCAGCTTAGTGGCAATAGTAAGCTGATGGTCGTTCCACACTCGGTTCTCAAGCTTCCCGAATCCCGCAGCTGCCTTCTAGACGCGGATACGCAGCTCACTGAAGCTGCTGGTCAGTCGACATCGCACTGCCAAGGTAGCAGAAGCGGGAATTGGTTTCCAATACTTCAACACCAATGCTGATTCGCGGTAATATTGAAGATCACATCTCCGGTGAAGGTTGAAAGAGACAGACAGTTTTGCTTGTGTTGATGTTGAGTCAGAATTTGGCTGCTGTCGAAGCCAGAGCACTAGTCATGTGCTGCAGCTCATGCGTGCCGTGTGCAAACAACACACAGTTGTCAGTAAACAGCAACATACGGATAGTTGTCTCACAGACTAGAGTTCTCACACCGAAACGACGGATGTTCAGCAACCCACCATCAATACGGTGCTCTGCGCGAACACCGTAAGTACAAGCGGCATTAAAAGCACAGGACATCATTACATGAAGATATATAGTAAACAGGGCAGGTGCTAAGACACAGCCTTGCTTCACACCAGTGACAACTGCAAAATCATCCGACGTCTCTCTACTCAGCTGCACCCTCGCCCGCATACCACTGTGCAAACATACACTTAAACTTACAAACTTACGCGCGCAACCAAACTTACCCAACACCAGCCACAATGCCTCGCGGTTCACTGTATCAAATGCCTTGGTGAAATCAACAGAAAGCGAGTACAATGGCTGGTGTCTTTCTCTGCACTTCTGCAGTTGTCGAACCGCAAAAACCATATCTATAGTTCTGCGAACCGCATGTTGGTGCCACGATAATTCGCGCAACATTGCTTACTCCCTTTCCCTTGTACAGCGGTAGCATAAGGGCATCCTTCCGTTCAGCGTTCACCTCCTCGTCAATCCACACGCGTTGCAACAAGTGGTGCAACGCGGGTACGCCGCGTTTCAAGTCTTCAGGCGGGATCCCGTCGGCCCCGGCACACTTGCCGTTTCGCAGCTGAGCAAGTGCTCTCTGCGTCACATGCAGTGTCGACGTGTTCGCCAGACTCGTCTCCACATCGTGCTTACACTGCCTCTAACAGACCTCTTTAACAAATGCCTGACTATGGGTATGATCCCGGACAATTTGAGAACGGCCAGACAACCCCAGTACCAAAAAATAGATCTCAAAAGTATCGCCCAATTGCATATACACCTGTGCTCCTAAAAGTTTTCGTATGACCCTTAATTCTGCGGATTTTTCAAGCTGCTCCTGAAGACGATATCTACCAGTTTGCGTATAGACCCCAGCGCTCCACATTTGATGCAGTGGTATATGTTGTTCATTCTATGACCTATGCATTAGATCAAAAATGTAAATCCATACGTCTTGTCTTCCTGGATTATTCAAATGCCTTTGGAAGCCTGGTTAGCTCAAGGTTGCTGAACCTGCTATCCGAAAATGGAGTTCACCCTGGTGTGTGTAATCTGTTATGTGATTATTTTACAAATCGTACTTACTTCACCAAGTTAAACGGTAAGAAATCCTCCGTCCTCTGTGCCGACTGTGGTGTTCTACAGGGAGCGATCCTATCACCTTTTCTATTTTCCTTGTATGTTCAACATCTCCCTATGCAAACCACGTTTATAGGGTGTACATCTGCTGATGATATTGTGCTGGGATGTATGGCCTCCACTAACCGGGATTCCTCATCACTTCAGCGTGGGTTGAATGATCTGATGGAATGGTCTTCATCCAGATCTCTCACGCTTAATGTTTCTAAATGCAGTGATGCAATATTTTCTTTTCTCAGTGGTGACAACTTTCAGTCCCGCATAGATTTCCCTCCTACCCTTACTGTGAATGAAAATCCCATACACAGCTCTTCCATCTTCAATAATCTCGGCGTCTTTTTCCCCAGGATCTTTGTTGGTCCACACATGTCTGTAAAACTATCATCTTACTTTAACTTTCATGTTTGTGACCTTTTGCATTATTATCCATTGGTTATACTGGTTTTATCATTTTCTCTCTGTAAAGCACATTTCTAGAAACAGCTGCTTGTCCAGAGGTTCTTTAGTTGATTTGATCATTTCTAAACATCTCCATGCATGCAGTCACTTTTCTTCTAAGGTACTAATTGATGGATTTCATCCATTTCACAATGATCTTTTCAAAACGCTCTCTTTTTCTTTTACCCGCTCGAAATTCAGAATTTTTCTCTCCTGCACATCATTATATCGTAATACTTTTTTTTACCTTATCT